GAAGCTCATGTACCACAACGAAGAGTAACCCCCACTGGCTGCAACTAGAGAAAGCCCACGAGCAGCAGCGAAGACGCAGTGTAGCCAAAAATAAATAAATAAAATAACAATAAAATTACATTAAAAAAAATGCTCAATGAGCATGGACTATATACACCAAGCAGTGTTCTAAGCACTGGGGAGACAGGTGAACAAAACATGCAAGAAAGCCTGCCCTCATGGAGCTTACGCTCCAGTGGCAGAAACTGATATAAAAAGCCACGGTTCTCAGACAAACAGAATGATGACTAATAAAGAACTGAGTTCCTTTCAAAGAGCCAGGTCCTCAACTTGATCTGTAATGGTTCGTAGAAACTTAACTTATAAAAAAACTTTTCCTTAGATACGCTGGTGCATTAAGTGGGGACAGCTGGCAGTGGGTAGCATACCTGCCACCTGATGGCTGGGTGACCTCTGCAGGCATCAGTCTCTTCATCTGTGAGATGGAGAGGGTCGAGCCTTCCTCACAGGGTCATCGTGAGTATTCTGAGATGGTGTATTGGCACAGTGTCTGTTTCATGGTAACGTACATTCTGTTCACCATCCCTGGCTCCTCTTTCCTGCTTCGAGCAGACATGGGAGTCTAATCAGTTCCCTTCAGCCTCCTTCTGGACCCCTGCTGCAGATGCAGACAGGACAAGAGGCTACTGAGGTGACGCAGAGTCTCAAGGGTAATGGGTATGTGGCGAGAATGGACACCCAGCAGAGGCTGCGGCCGTACACTCTGCCTCTCCCCTCTCCCCCAGCCCCACTGAGCAGAGGCTCTGGAAGAGGCAGCCATACGCCTGTGGGGCAGGACAGTCTTCCCTGTCGGAACTTGGGTGTGGCTGAAGAGGCCTGTCTGGGGTCTCTTCTCCTTCGCGGCCCAGATGAGCAGTCCCCCACAGGTGCCCTGGCGGGCCCTTCGGGAGTCCCCGTCTCCCCAGCAGCCAGCAGCACTGCCTGTGAGAGTGGGCCCCCAGGGGACGCCAGTGGTTACCAAGCACTGGATTTTACTTGCTTCATTTCATCCTACCTTTCCCAACAATGCTGCAAGTTAAGGGCTGTCACTGCCCCATTTCACAGTTGAGGTAACCGAAGCTAAGAGAGGGAGTAAGAATTTGCCCGAGCCACTCTAATATGTGATGGAACCAGCATTTGAATTCAGGCTGTCCAGCTCCAGAGCTCGGGCTTCACACTGACCTATACCCTTTCTGCCCTCTGTTACCAACCCCAATCCCCAAATCCACACATCAAATTCACAGGGGCAGACAGTTCCCTGGGACCTCTGGGAGCACCAGGGCCACGTGGCACTTTGCCCAGCTTACCTGAGTGCTGGCTTCAGCAGCTTTAAAGAGAAGGGGACCGTGCCTGAGAGCACTGTGACAAGGGAGACAACTGGAAGTCCAAAATGGCACAGCTGGAGGGACCTTGGAGGTCATCTCTCGGCAATCCTTCTTTTACCGAAAAGAAAACGGAGGTCCAGAGAGGGAAGTGAGGTCCCTACATGCCGAACTTCTAACACCCTGCAGACTGCCCAGTGGCCTCAGAAGCCCGGCACTGGTGCCCAAACACTGGCATGTAAAATGGATTCGAACCCAGTCTCTCCACCCACCTGTTGTATGACTCTCAGCAATCGAGGGCTTCACTGAGCCTCAGCGTCCTCTCCTGCAGGTTGCGGGGGCTTTAGAGATAATGTGTGTGAGATGCCAGCACAGCAGCTGGCACCTGCTAGGTACTCAGTGAACTGTAGCTACTATTATCACTCTTGTTGGTTTCGAAGTTCAATGATGTTAGGCAACACTACCTCTCTTAGGTGTTGCTTTGATTCTGTGGTTCTGCTAGCTAGGGCCAGAGAGGGAACAATGTTCACAGCCACCTCTGAACGCTGAAATCCATCTCAGGGAGGGCTAAGGCTCAGCTCTGTGTCTCTTTGGGATTAGAATCTGGAAGAATGACCATGGGCTGTAGCCAAGGTGGCAGCTGCAAGTTCCCAGCTCTTCCAGTGTGCATGCGGCTTGAGAGCCATCACTCAGCCTCTGTCTATATCAAATTTCTGTGAGTCCAGTGAGTGAGGTAATCACCTGCCACCTTATCTCCACCACCCACCCCCAGGGAAATTTATTGTGCTCATTTAAGGAAGAGCTAGCTATGAAGTCTAACACCTTCCAGAAAGGCTACACTCCTAGGGGTTTTGGGGGGTTTTTCTTGGTGGTGGGGGGTGAGTGGAGAAGCCTTCTCTTTGAGACAGAGCTACCTGGCGGTGACAATTTGGTGCAGATGTAGAGCATCCTCACCACTGAGCCCTGAGGAATAAGGGGTAAGACTTGTAGAAACCTGCCAAGTTCCAGCTCCTCCTTCCCTCCCTCTCCTCGTGGAGCCCTCCTTCTGGAGCCATCAGTAACCCATCAGCCTGATTTCGGTTTGGCATGGTCCAGCTTCATCCTCCATGCCTAGGGGTGACTTTGGAGCCTCTCGCTATGGGTTGATGTGATGTCTTTGGATCCCACATCCTCTCACCTGGTTCTTTCAAGACCAAAGGCAGCTAGACATAATAGACCAGGCTGGGATGAGAGGAGCAGCCTATATCAACAAAGGGTCATTCCCCAGGTCTTCCCACCTGGCTGACCTGAGAGCCTGTATGGGGGTAGGGACACCAGAAGGGCAGTGCCCTTACATTTCCTCGTCATCTAGAGATGGCTGTGGGGCCTGATTCCTAAGGAGCAAGTCTCCCTAGCTTGCCACAGAGGACATGACCACTGGGTCTGCCCCATGATTGCGGCAGAAACAAGGCAATGGCTTGAAAGTGATGATCTTGGTCTATGGAAATGAATCTTGGTCACTACTGCGGTCTAATTAAACTCCCCACGCAAGGGAGACCTGGGAGAGCAAGGCTGGCCTGCATCTCCACACCATCTCCTACTGCTCCTGACTGCCACGCAGCTTAGGCCTCAAGATTCCCTGCTGTTCTTTTTTTTGCGGCACGCGGGCCTCTCACTGTTGTGGCCTCTCCCGTTGCAGAGCACAGGCTCTGGACGCGCAGGCTCAGCGGCCATGGCTCACGGGCCCAGCCACTCCGCACCATGTGGGATCTTCCCGGACTGAGGCACGAACCCGTGTCCCCTGCATCGGCAGGCGGACTCTCAACCACTGAGCCACCAGGGAAGCCCGCCCCGCTATTCTTATAGATCTCTTTGTGAGGCCCTCTTTTACGTGTCCCCTTCTTTCGAGCGTCACTTTCTTGGTAGGGCCATTTTTGGACTTGTCCTCGTGGTTAGTCTTCTGAGTGAGGAAAGGGTATTGAAGTTAAAACAATGACTTTTCTGCAGCAAAAAACCCATTCAGGTTTTCTTCCTTCAATTCACTTCACTCCAACCGAAGTGTACTGAGCATTTATTACAAAAGTGCTTCAGTCCCGAGTGCTGGAGAAACAGGGAAATGCTGATGGGGGTGGTTGGGGGAAAGCATGAACTGTGACCTCACCATCTGCCTGATTCCCAAGGTAGCTTCATTCAGAGGCCAGGACCTAATGTGGTCCTTCAGATGAGCCAGTGCCCAGGAGTACCAGTAGGATGCAAACACCCTGACAACCCTGTGTCTCACATAAAAGGGCTTCCAAACTCGCCCAGCCTGACCAACTTCAACTCCCACCAATAACTTCCCAGCATCCTGGGCCACGGCACCGCCAGGTAGATCTCTTCCTTAAAAACATTAAGTACTTTCATCCTCTGGACCTTTGCTCATATTGTTCATGCAGCACATCCTGCTCTGTCCTCCCTTTCTTGCCTCTTAAGAATTTATTCAAAGGATTTATCTACCTTCTGTGAGAAGCCTCCCCCTAAGACCACCTTGCAATACAATATTTTTCCTCTGTGATCCCTGCTTGGTTTGTTTATTTAACATCTGAGTGTCTGTTCTATCCCTGATACTGTGCTGATCTCCTAGAACTAATTTAGCCCACCTTGCCTTCTGCCCGGAGTGAGAGTAGTTCACATCAGATTCTCAATGCCACCAGGGCTGGGGCACAATCTCAATGATTTCTGTGTCCGTATCTCTCAACACCGTGTTTTGCACTTTGTTCAAAGTGTCAGACGGAGAGGTGCTTTCTAGACTGGGCTCTGCCCACTACTTAGTCGTGTGGTCTCCGGCGAATCTTCCAGCCTCTCTGGCCGCCTCCCTTCTTCCTGATGAAATGGTGATGATAATACCCCAGGGTTGTCCAGGGGACAACGAGGTGGGGTGGAAGGAAGCATCATGAAAGCTGGGAGCCCCAGGCCAACGGAAAAGGAGGGTTGTTGTACCCCCATTCTCCTTTCACTGGCTATGAAGCAGCGTCTCTTCCCCTTAGCTCTCTTCGAATGTCAAGTGCACCAGCTTCCAATCCCTCCTCGGGGCGGGACCTCCGGCGGCTCGGAATCCTAGGCTGCGGAGGATTCCGGTGCAAACTCCAGACCCTCCTCCCGCCCAGCCGCCCCTTTCCAAAGACACGCCGAACACACCTTAAACCCTGTTCCAGAGCGCAGTCCAGAGCGCAGTCCAGAAAGGCAGCTCCGCAGCGCGGGCCCGGGCCGGGGTCGCGCATCTCCAACCGGTGACTCAGGGCCGCTCGGTCCGGGGGTGGGTGGAGGTAGGCGGGACAGACCAGGGCCGCGCGCGGGCAGCCGCCAGGAGCTCGGTCGCCGAGCCGTTGGAGCCGAGACTGGCTCTGGCCCGTCGCCATTCCGCCGCGGGCGTCTGCCTCGCCGGGCCTTCCTCCGGCGCCGCTTTGCACCCGCTACGCTCCTCTCCCGGGGCTCAGCGGCCCCGCAGCCGGCCTGGGCTGGAGCGGGGGGCGGGCTCTGCGCGCGAATGAATGGGCGCCCGCGGGAGGCGCGCGCCTTGGACTGAAGGGCATTAGGACCGCGAGGATCGCTCCGTGCTTCTGTCTCTCCCTATCACCCCCCACCTCTCTCCTTTTTCTGCTCTGCGGGACTGTGCAGCCCGGCGCGAGCGAAAACAAACAGCTGAGGCTGCGAGTGCCTCCGCCCCGGCTCCGAGAGCACGCCAGCCCGGACCCCTACTCCGGGCGCCCAGCCGCCCACCATGAGGAAGATCCGCGCCAATGCCATCGCCATTCTGACCGTAGCCTGGATCCTGGGCACTTTCTACTACTTATGGCAGGACAACCGAGCCCACGCAGCATCCTCAGGCGGCCGGGGCGCGCAGAGGGCCGGCGGGAGGCCGGAACCGCTCCGGGAGGACCGCACCATCCAGCTCATTGTGAGTACGCGTTGCGAGCCGAGCGGCCGGCCGGGGAGCCGCGGCGCGCGTCCTAGCCCCGAGCGGCAGCAGAGGGCGAGAGGCCGGGCCGGGGGCTGCGTGCCCGCCGCGCCCCGCCGGCTTTGTATACGTTGGAGCATTCCTGTCCGTTGTTATGGAAACCTCTGTCGGGTTAGCGGGGTCAGGGCGCAAGGATGGAGGGAGGGTGACAGCGGGTGGGGGTTGGGAGAAAGTACTGCAAGTTTGGTGGGCCCGGCGTGCACGCGCGACTGGGAACGTGGCGGCTCTCTGGGCGCTGCGCAACCTGGGCCGGGGGCCGAGGGCCGAGGGCCGGGGGCCGAGGGCTAGGGGTTGTCCGCGTCTCTCCTGCCCCCGAAGGCGGCTGGACCTTGCGCGGCGAGCCGGCAGTGGGAACCACTCGCTGCTAAGCGCGTAGGTGGTTGTGCGCACCCCCCTTCAGCCCCTCGAGGGCAAAGGACGTGGGGTGGGTGCCCTGGGTGAGGCAGGGTAGCTAGGGACTTGCTGGACTTTGAGCTCCCTTCTCAGCCCGGGTCAACTTGAAACTGCTTTTTTAGGGGGCACGGAGGACTCCCCACTATCACCCCCGGGGTTCTTCGGGTCGGGGAAAGGTCTCGTCCTGAAGGCGTCCCACGCCCCAACACCAGTTCATCACGACGCGCTAACTAGCAGTGTCTGCGCCCAGGCTCGGAGATTGCCTCTCACGAGGTCAGCCCCGCGATCTCAATGCGAGCGGGGAAACCAAGGCGGCGGGGCACGGCGGAGGTGCGGGGGAGCCCCCCAGGCGCTCCGGGGACCTGGGCTGGGGCGTGCCTGTCGCCGCCTCCGCCCGGGCCCCGGGAGCCGGCTGTGTGTGGCAGGGGCACCTGTTGAGACGGGAGGCTCTGGAGCCCGCGAGAGGCGCGCTCAGGCGGGCCGCAGTCTTCCGATGGGGGCGGATGGTGGGCGAGACTCTTGGGCGACCCGACTCGCAGGACAGACTGCTGGGCCCGGGGCAGCCTGGCCGGCGGGGGCCGGAAAGAAGGAGAGCAGAGTGAGGGGCTGAGGGTGGGGGAGTGGAGCAGGGTGGCCATTCTGAAAGATCTGGGTCTGGGGAGGCAGGGGTGAGGAGCTCCTGGAGAGGAGCAGGGTCAGGAGGGCAAAAGCTTGTGTGGAGTAGACTCTGAGATCTTTGTGCCAAGGCAGCTGAGCCCCAGGAATACGGTGTGTTGTTTGTAGTGGCGGTTGTAGGCGTGGAAGTGCTCTCGTAGTCCCATCCTGCCCCAGATTCCCTTTCTTGTTACCTACCCGGAAAGAAGTGAAAATCCCCTGCAAAAGAACCATATTTCCAGGCTTTGCCTGAGGAGACCTTGGGGTTTGTGGGTTTTCCCCAGCCCCACTCCCGCATTGCCAGATCCCCGTCTGGTTGAGCTCTCTGGGGGTGAGCCTGATTAGGTGGAGTGTTCCCTTCTGGGCTGAGGGTCCCTGCCACTAAGACACTGTTTCCAAAGCACTTGTGGATGTTTGGACGGAAAGGCTGATGAGGGAAAGCCTTCTGTGTTAAAGACCCCAGAATGTTGGGATCTAGGTGGACAGATTCAAGTCGGAACTGGGCAAACCAGGAGTGGCCCCATACCCCCAGGGAGCTTCCACAGCAGGGACTCATCCAAGCTGCCCTGTTCTTACGCTCTGAGAGGGCCAGCTCTGGTCCAGGGTAGGAGGGCCTGGAGTGGCAGGGGAGAGGCAGGCTGCCCAGATGTCCTGTCCTTCTCTGTGGTGACGTGATGGAAGGAGGGTCTGAGCTGGAAGAGGAGGAGGGGAGAGAGGAGGGGGAATGGAAGGGAAGAGCACAGAGATACTAACTGCTGCTCAAAGCCTGAGGCTGGTCTCATCACAGGTGCCTCTGCTTCAGAATCCGGGAAAGCCATTCAGACTGAGAGCCTGGGAATGGTGCTGGGGGCTTGGGGGGTGCATTGCTGGAGGTGGGCGGCACTCGTTTTGAGGGGTGGCAATGGCAGGTCATGGAGGCTGCAGTGACCATCCTCTCGGCCCTCTCCCTGTTCCCATGGGGTTTGACTTGCTGCAGATTAGAAGAGGGCTGTGAACTGGAAGCCGAATGAGTTTAAAGTGTGAAGGAGTATCGGGGAGCCAGGAATGGAGGTGCAGGAAGAGAGGGAGAGTGGAAGTTCCTGGGAGTGAGTCTGGAGCCTTCTCTGGCCACTCGGGGCATAGCCAGCTCCCTCGTTGTTCTTAGGCTTTAAGCCCTGAATGTCTCTTCCATAGGCATTGATCCCCAGTCACACCCTGCCTTTGACACAGCCTTGCGTTGTATTCCCATATTCGGGGTATTTCGCTTCAGTGGGACTTTCAGTCATCGGCCTGTCTCCTCGTTGAATGGAAGCTGTCATGCAGGGACAGTGCAGGAAGCTTCTTGCATCCCCACCTTGATGAGCACAGCAAGACTTAATAAGTACTGTTACACGAGTGAAGTAGGATTTCTGCCCAACTCTGGGAGCAATGACCCAAGCTTCATATCCCACTAATACTTTATTCCAGCTCCAGCTGACTATAACTAGAGAGCCAGGGGAATGTGTGTTCAGCTTCTCTGGGAGGTAAACCCTTTGTTCAACTTAAAAGGGGCAGGTGCAGCTGAAGATTTAATTTCTCTTTGAAATCTGTGGTTAAACTCTCACTGGTCTTCTTGCCATTCCAGAACATGTCTCTGTCTAGTTGGGCCAGAACGTGCTGCATGTGGATTTTCAGATTCTTAGGGAATGATGTGGCTAGTCCGGCTGACAGAGGCTGAGAAAATTCAGACAAGCATCATCATCACTCCCCTGGGGAATCAGAGAGCTGAGCTGGAAAAGGGAGGTTCTGCATAACAGCCTGGGCCAGGAGGCAGCTCTGTCTTCACAATGTCTGGGTGATTCCAAGCCAGCCAAGTTGTTTCTGGACCTTGGAGGCAATTGTTTGGCATTGCAGGGTGTCGGCATGGCAACCGTATGGCCCAGATATCTCAGGGAGGTCCTAATTTTTTTTTTTAACATCTTTATTGGGGTATAATTGCTTTACAATGGTGTGTTAGTTTCTGCTTTATAACAGAGTGAATCAGTTATACATATACATATGTTCCCATATCTCTTCCCTCTTTGTCTCCCTCCCTCCCACCCTCCCTATCCCACCCCTCCAGGCAGCCACAGAAAGGGAGGTCCTAATTTTTAATATTCTGTCCTGTTGTTAGCCCATGTGTCATAAATTTTGATGTGAAAAATTGGTTATAGAATCTGTAAAACTGAAGGGAGATACTGACTTAATCCATAAATGGCTGCTTATGATGTGGCAGGGTTTGTGATTTTTCCATGCTGTACGTTATGGGCAAGGCAGTGGATTTGGGGATATCCACTCGAATCTACATTGATGCTTGCTGGCCCTGGACTGCAGCCAAAGCAGGAGGTGGAGCAGACACAGCTGGCCTTCAGTCTTTAGGACTCACAGTCGGGAAGAACATTTGTGATTGGTTTGGTTTTCCATATGCTAATTCTCTAATAGGCATGGGTGGGATGCTAAGGTGTTACATGGAATTTCACTTTACAGACATATTTTTAAAAGACTGTCCATTGTGGGTATTTTCAGGATAGGTGTACTCATTTGCAATATCTCCTATTTGAAACCATGAACGTTTTAGGCAAGAGTTTTCCTAAACTGGAGTTTTTTTATCCTACAGTTGGGATACTGCTGAGTGAGCATGGGCAAAAACTTACGTCTCTGGACCTTGGGTATTTTATATGTTAAATTTGGGTGAGGGAAATTCCCTGGTGGTCCAGTGGTTAGGACTCTGCGCTTTCACCGCGCAGGGCACGGGTTCGATACCTGGTTGGGGAACTAAGAAAGAGCCCACAAGCCTCACGGTGTGGCCAAATAAATAAATAAATTTGGGTGAAATGGTTTGTTAGGTGTGTTGATCCGTGGATAAGCTGATGATAGCTTCCTTTCTAGAAGCAAATAAATGGCTTTAAGAGAGTTCTTTTGAATGGTGTTATGAGATTTATGGCTAGCTGAGGGATACCCCTGTCCGGAGTTGGTCCTGTAGTAACCCCTGAGGCCGCACAGGGATCCCCACTTACCTAGTAGAAGGGAACAAAGAAGATGGCTTTTCCAGCACTGTTCTCTGAAAGCAGAGGCTTCAATTAAAATAAATATAAATTAAATTATATTTAATTTGTGTAGGTGCCTAGTTCCCTTTGCCCCACAAACACCCCCAGTTCCCTTTGCCAAAATGTCTGAACTGAAAGGGCTTGATTTCCCATCACTGAATTACTCTGTAGGGTTCCAAGGAATGGAACTGGGGCTAGCGGGTAAAAGTTGCCGGGAGAGAGATTTGTTTTTACCAGAAGCAGCACTTTTTCACTGAGCTGACTGTCACTGGAATGGTTCGAAGGCTGACCAGCGTTTCTCTTCACACTCCCTGTGGCCAGGTCAGCGCTTTCTTCCAGCAGCAGTGGGAGGAGGAGAAAACGGCTCGCGGTCCTGACTGTCTCGGAGATGTTAGGCAGCTCTGTAACCGAGTTTGAAATAGGGCCCAATTATTATACTGCAAGAGACCTGGCGCCCTGGGAAGCAAGGCTGGCTGAACACACTGAGGCCAGGGAGGAGGGTGATGAAAAAGAAACCCATAACTGCCACAGTGCTGTCCCCTCCCTGTTCCTTTGGAGCTGCCAAACAGGGAAGGAGAGGGGGCCAAGGTTGGTCAGAGGCAAGGCTGCAAAGCCAGAAGTGCTGGTCTTCAGGCTCTTTCCTGCTCCCCAGAACGAGGCCCACAGAGGTTTTCCACCCACCTGAGGCCCCTTGAGTCTGACCTTCCCATATACCACTTCTATTTCCCTCATCCAGCCTGGGGAGAGTTTCCAGGTGGCCTGTCCTGCGTCCCGGGGCCCTGCCCATTGCTTTCCGGGGCGGCGCCGGCTGGCAGTGCTCCTGAGCTGTGTTCATGGAGGAGGCTGAAG